ATTGGGCCAGGTCAGGTGAGTAGGGTGGGTGGGGAAGCACAGCCGTCTTGTTTTTGTTCAAAATCTCGTGTTCTGAGGGACAAATGAGCCTGCGCGTTGTCGTGGTGAAAAAACCACTCGCCGCTCCTCCAAAATTCGGGCCGTTTTCGCCTGATTTTGTCTCTTAGGTGTTTCATAATACCAGGTAGTACTCCGTGTTGACTGTCTGGCCTGTAGGTGCACAACCCTCTTTCGTGATGCACAACCCTCTTTGCATCGAAAAAACAGTCAACATCAACTTAATATTTGAGCGAACTTGTCGAGCTGTTATAGGCGGGAACTGTTTTACCCACCCGTGGAAAGTTTATGTGAAGGATTTTCCGAGTTTCACACAGAATTTCACAGAACAACACTGTTCTTTCAAAGAGCTGATTTTCGCCGAATCCCACAAACACCACTTCACATAAACGGCCGTAGCTAATTACGAAAACAAGATATCAACAAATGGGTTGAAGGAGGTTACTCGGGAGTTTCTGCAGACACAACTCCTTCAAGCGGATTAAAAAATAACAAACTGGAGGTGCGCTATTCAAAAAGTTCGGGAACTTTTTTAGCAATCCACATACATTTTCTTTAGATTTTAGAATTCACAATAACCATATAAAAAATATATATTTTTGTTTATTTGTTTATTATATACTGTTATCGAACAGAAAAGTAAACTATCTTATTTACAAATCTTTTCAAAATAGACAGTTTAACCAGGCCCTTCTAAAAACCGGGCCCTAGACATTTGTCTCATTTGTCTATGCGATGATCCGGCCCTGCTTTAGAATGTAATTTTTCCTGAGGAAGATTGTTTAAGATGATTGGAAATGTTTGAGTAAGAAATGTTTACTGTATTAGATGGTTTTAGGGTTGGTATAATTTAATAAAACTATTTAAATGAAAAAAATATATATAAGTTTATATTTTATTTTAATTTGACACAAAATTATTTCAATTGTTGAAAAATGTTTTAAAATGAAATTTATAAAATGCGATAGCAATATACAACAAATTAATTCTAAATATTATATTTTCATTATTTTGTAAAAATTTAATTTGAATATTTAACTACTTATTGGACATGATAATTCTTTTAATATGAAATAAAAAAATGTCTTCTCATTTGTCCTCTTTCACATGCACATGAGAAAAATAACTGTTCCACAGAGGAGTCCACCTTTTATTTAAGATTACTCGTCCACCTCTATATGCAAAATGTTAAAAAATCCCTCTGGAGATGGCCTCTGTTAAAAGATAATATTTGCAAATTATTGGCAAATTATTTTCCCTATGTGCACATGAAAGGACAAGTGAGAAAACACATTTTTTGTATTGTCTTTTTAAGAATTTTCTTAAATTTTAAAGCATTAAAAGTTTTAGGTTTTGTAAAAATAAAATAAAAAATAAATAATTTTAATTTAAAACTTTGTATTTGGGTACTTTAAGTTTCTGATTGTTATGCAAAAAATAACTTGTATATAATTTAAACTCTAATAGAAATATTTTTAGTATTCCAAATTTAAAAAAAAAGTTGCTAAGGTCCCTTGTTCAACTTTCCTGGTACTTAATTAAACAGAAGGTTAAGAAGATCATTAGGAAGTCCAATAATTTTCAATTATACTTGGATATAAATTTTAAATAATAATAAAAGATTAAGAGGAATATTTTAGTTAAATTATAATAAATCTCTATTTAAAAAAATATTTAAAACACATTATAGAACACCTATAAAAGTTTCAATATATATATATATATATATGTAATCTTATTATGAATGCACAATATGTGTACAATATGTAAATTGTTGTAAATATTAATATATTAAGTACATAATAATACATAATAATGTCCCAAGCACATCAAGCTGACTATAAATTCTTTAATAAATTCAAACTGCCTTTCAGTAAAAATGTTATTTTCAACTTACAAATGAAGTATTGTATCTAATATGTTGAATTTCCTTATATTGTGATATTTAAGTTATTTCATCAATATTATGTATATAAAATTTCTAATATGAAAATGCATATAATATTGAAATGAAACATTTAATAAAGTTAAAATACCTTAAAAAATTACAACTCAGTTATTTGTAATATTATATTATACATTGATGTTATTTACATTATTCATAATAATACAAGATTTAGAATTCATCATAATCAAATACAGTACAAAGTACAGTGGTACATCATACTTCAAATTTAATTCAACCCAGTAGGTCATTCAAAGTCTGAATAAATTTTTTTCATTCGAAATAATGGAAAGTGAATTAATCCATTCCTAGACCCCGAACAATACTCATTTCGATAAACTTAAAACAGCAAATACACATAATTTAAGGTAAAAGCAATACAATTAAATGCTTTAATAAAAAATTAAAACATGAAACCATAAATAAAATATGTAAATACTGTATAATAAAATGAAAACTGCATTTATGGGTTGCACACTGATCATATTAACATAGATGTGTGATTTAATTATAACAGTTGTGAAATTTAACATAATATAATGTGAGATCTTAGCTTTTGTTTAGAAGCTTACTTTAAACTTTTTACATCACATTTTGTTGGATAAAATCAAGTTGTAATGCCTTCATATAAACAGCATATCAGGTGTATTATGCATTATGAGTTTTGAAAAAGGATAACACTGTACAAACAGTAAAAAATTGTATTGTGTATAGGGAAGATGCTCCTATACTTTGAACATGTCAAATGTGGTTTAAAAGTTCTCTTTGGGAAATTTTGAACTGAAGGATACAATGCATACAGGGTGCTCAAAAGCTGTCAAGAAAGAAAAATAGCAAAAAGAAATTAAAAATTGACAATAACACATAATCTATGTATATAAAATTGCTTGTCCTGACTGACTGAATGACTCACTCACTGATTCATCATCGCCCAGAGCAAACCTCTGAACCTAAAGAGGTGAAATTTGGTACACAGTTAAGGTACATCATGAAAACGCACACTAAGAAGGGATTTTTTGAAATTCCCCTGCGGAGGGGGAGAGCATTAAAGCTTAACTGGAAGAACGGCTTCTACTGTACTATTTTAGATGCAATTTTTTGTTTTTAACTGCGTTTTAGTAGGGTATGCACACTAAGAAGGGATTTTTCGAAATTCCCCCTTGGGGGAGAGGGAGAGGATTTAGTCTTCATCGAATACTTAGGTGTATTACTTTAATAACATTTCAGACATTGTTATAAATATTTTTATCTATTTCAATTTTAAAAACGTTTGAACCGTTTTAAATTCAAATTTGTTATTGCATATTGGTTCGATTATAGAACGATTGTAAACATTCCAGAAAATTGATCAAATTGAAAATAGTTCGTTTGATTCTCGGCAATTCTCATCATTCTCAGCGATAGGTGTTATATAACAATTACTATGGTTGTTGAAATACTGAATATAAATGGGGTTTGCTTGCAAAATCCTCACGGGCAAAGTCGCGGGTAACAGCTAGTATAGTTTATATAACCAAACACACAAAAAATAAAATGAAAAAAGCACTGAAAACACATAAGCATAACACAAAAGCAAGAGTGAGAGACAACTTGGACACATTGTGTTTAAGCTTCCAGCATATTTCTTTTACCACAAGCACCTTTCAAACTTTGAAGCATCATTGAAGCTCTGAGGCAAATTTTTGTTGAATTTTGCATTCAAACTCTGAAGTGTTTGAAGTTAGATATGTTCAAAGTACAAGGTACCACTGTATTTTGTATTTTATGAAAATTATGCTGCGAAGAATTAAATTAAATCAAAAATTTTTATTAGTATATAAATGGCTTGCTGTATGGTATATTACAAATGTAAATCCGTCTCTGTAATCCAAAAAAACACACTTTGGTAGATGTTACTATTCAACCAAAGTCTACCAAAGTGTTTTTTTTTGGATTACAGAGACAGATTTACATTTGTAATTTTTATTAGCTTTTTTAATACAGTTTTTATGATATGGTGGTTACAAAAATTACTTAAATTGTGATAAAAATAACAGATATGATTATATAAAATTTCATGCATACAAGTACTTTCAACATTGTATAAAATGCAATGTTGAAAGTATTTGTGTGCATGAGAATTGATGTTTATTAACACCAAAAAGACAGTACATACATGTTTATTATTTATTATGTTTATACAGACAATGATTCCAAATGAATGTTAATTACACTCATTTGGAATCATTTAAAGTGTTATCAATTTTATTAACTTATGTAAAATCATATTGTTTATGGTTAAATTTAATTTAATCAAGTATTCATCATTTTCATATAGCATAATTCTGAAATTTGAAATGTTAAGCATTATTGTAGACAATTATCAAAACACAAAATTGATTCAAATTAATTCTAAATATCCAAATAAAATATATGAAATATCTAATTAATATCAAAGTCACTATCTAATTTATTTTTGAATGATTGTCAAATAATATTTCAAGAAGGATTGCAAATTTGAAGTTGAAACAAGTATTAAATTTATCTTTTTCAATTTACATTATTCATTTTACTTATTAAATTTAGCTACATAGCCAAATGATCACCTTAAATACTTGGGCTATAAATCTGCTATTTCTAATAATTAATACTAAGTGATTTTCTAGAGGTAGATGTGATTAACCACATAAGGTTATATATAAATTTAAATACATCTGGAAGCAAAGGCACGATTGTGGTCAAGGTGGTGCAACTGGCAAGCAGAGATTGTGGGTCCAAGCCTCACCCAAGGCAAGTTCTTTACACCCATATGATTCTAAATTATTTAATAAATTATCTAAATTACATACCTCTTGTAGCAAATTATTTATTATTAATTATTAAAAATAGCAGATTTATAGCCCAAGTATTTAAGGCAATTGTTTGGTTATATATCTATATATTATCAGGCTTTGGGTTGTTTAATACACTTATAAATTTAGTTAAATGTTATTAAATGTTAATAAATAAATAAACTTACAAATCCTGGATCCACAGCTGGAGGATATGTATGATCAATGGGTGCAATGTTTGGATGGAATATTCCTCCTCCTGGTAATGGCTGCTGAACAGTATTGGGAATTCCTGGATAAAGTGGATAAGGGGATGCAGTAGTTACAGGTTCTATAACAAATTCTGTAGGTGGAAAATAAATACCACCTGGTGGAATTGGAGGACAGATTGGTCCCCCACCAATTGGATATGGATTAATTGGAGGATAAGGATAAGTGGGGACCTTGAAGGAGTAGAAAATTTATATTTTATTATTCTTGTTCTTTTTAGTTTTAAACTTTGGTTTATTCCTATATATCAAAATTTAATATTAAAATATATAATTATTATTAATAACTAGTCTGAAGGTAACATTTTCAATTGATATTTACCTGTGGATACATTTCTTGTTGTGAAGAAGACTGATTTTGTACATTAGGATTTTGTCCTTCATTCATTATTGGGTAACCAGGTGGATAATTGGGAAGAGGATAGAAATTATGATAAGGATAATTCATTATTCAAACAGACCTGAAATAAAAACAATATTTAATATAATTTCATTCATTCATAAATAAATAAAAACAAGCAATTGTTTATTGTGACATCATCACAATGCTGGGCTGTAATTTTTAATCATATTTCTAAATTTAATTAATTTAAAGTACAGTATAAGCTCTCCACCTCAAATTAGTAGTGTCTTGCCCTTGTATATGATACTTTTCCTGTTACTAATAGAGTCATGTCAGTCATCTATTAACTCTTTCCAGGAGAAAATTTTTGAATTGAAATAATGTGACTTCTAGTTTGCATCAGAAGTTCATATATAGTTAATCGAGGCCTCCTGTACCTAAGCTTTCCATATCTGGTCTCAACTCTCATCTATCTAACATCGTTCTTGAGATTAAGGAAGGAAGGACAGACAGGCAGACAACAGTGGGAATTTATAGGTCTACGATTTTTTTAAATTACAGCCCAAATTAAACACATTAAATGATTGAAATGAATTTATGTCATTTCAATCATTTAATGTAAAACATATTTCTTCAAGTGGATTTCTGATTTATGAATATAGATTAAATGATTGAAATGACAATTTTTATTTATTAATGTTTTACAGAAAAACAAATTTTTGTTCATAGATATACACAAGTATATGTTTATGGTAATGGTAACAAAAGTCTTTTCCAAGCCAATTATTTCAATAACTAATTGGACAATCACTTTACACCATTTGCCACATACTATATCAAGCATGCACTAAATAATGGTGCAAATTTCAGCCTCCTCCATCCCTTGTATTGGAGAAGGCTGTTATAATCTGAGTCCCTAATGAAAATAGGACAACAATGTCAACTACAAAATTGAAACACATGAAAAAATACATTACTATTTGCTTTTAGTGCATTAGCTGTTTATATTAGCTTTTAATATATGTTGTTTAACCATTTTGATACTAACATGTGTATAATCAATTTGGTCATAGAATAGAGATTTATAATCACTATGGTCACTTTTAATTGTTCATGCTTGTGTAAGGATGGCTGTTTATATCTATTTTAATTTTGTTATTTAATTTATTCTTTACTTAAGATATAATAATGAAGAACATATGGAGGAAAATGGAGGAATAAATATTTCTCAGCAACTTAAGGTGATGTGATGTAGTTTATTATTTGCTGAGTGAGTTTCATTGAATATCAATCTTTATCACATCTCTTATTATGTACAGTATGACATAAATTAATGCACCATCTACCTCTATGCTATATTAAAATTTAGTTTTATTAGTAGAAAGAACACATAGCAATAATTTCTACTAATAAAATTATAAATTTGAATAGTAACTTGGCAGTAGATAGCATTGTCAACTGATGTCATACATAATAATAAATATGATAAGATTGAGAATGTAAATCTGTTGGTAGTTTATAAGCACTATTTTTTAATATTGTTACAAATTTAGAGATTAGTTTATTGTATATTTAATGTTTAGTCTTATATCTTATAGTTTTAATAGATAAATAATTGTAACTTTTTGATTTTAACCTGAGGAGATGTGACCAATACAGATGTCACCTGAAATGCATAGTGTGAATAAGGTGTATGAATAAAGTACTATCCTGAAGACTTCTTGAACTGTGAGTGAGTCTCTGATTAATGCAGATAAAGGAGAAAACAGATAAATATTTGTAAATATCTGTTGGTTACCTTACAACTCTAAGGGAAAACTACAGTACCATACTAGGAACCAAAACTAAAGATTGTGTCTGAGGCAAAATGCCTTAGAGTTTTTCTAGGGAGATAGAGAGAGAAAGCTTTCTTAGGACCATCAAAATTATCTAAAAGAAGACTGGGACTGATCAAAAACATCTCTAAAACTGACTCAGATTTTGTTTTTAAAGGGACTAATAAGCAGCTGAATTAGCAAACCTATTTTTTATCTGCCTTCTTCCAAAATCCTACAGATCCAAATTTAGACATCAAGTTTTATTATGTTATCGTTGCTCTATGTTTAAATATAATAAAAATAAATGTGTCCACTGATCCTTAAATGACCCTAGTATCAATCTCTCAATTAAATTGATTGATCACTTTGAAATGCTAGTTCTGAGCTACGTAATCAGAAACTAATTTCCTTTCTTTATTTGTAAATGTTCAGGATAATCAATTTTTTCAATAGAAAATAAAATATATATATATATNACAATATACATAAAATTAAATGCTAAACTAAGAAGAATTTCGATAGTTCATTGTTATATACATATAGTATATCTAAAAAGTAGAAAATAAAAAATATATAAAAAAACATTCTAAAGTAACACTTTTTATTCAGATAAATGTACTAAAAAGTAAAAAAACAAATTTTCTTCAGCTTTTACAGTATTTTTGGTCATAGAATATTTCTAAACAGAAGCACCACAGACTTTTATTTTTGGTTGCATAATACCAAAAATACTGAGAAAGCCGAAGAAAATTTATTTTTTACTTTTAGTACATTTATCTGAATAAAAAGCATTAATTTAAAATGTTTTATATATTTTTTACTCTTGTTTTATACTATATGTATGTAACACTGGGCCATCAAACTTTTTCTTAGTTTAGCATTTAATTTTATGTATATTGTTCTCTGTAAGATTGGTTTTGATTCAAAAAAAGCTTTAAATCATTTAAATTTGATGTAGTGAGTGATTAGTTCTCTCAATTATTTTGGTGATAGAATGCTACCTTGAACATGACAGCTTCTATGGCCTGCAAAATTGATGATGATAATAGTAGTGAAGATTATCATCTTTTATGTATATTTTTTTATATTTTCTTAAAGATTAAAGGTGTATTTTAGCTATTTGACAGGATAACCATATTCTTTGTCTTCACTATGTTCCCATGTATAGGACAGCAAATAACAGTCATGTGTTGCAGTGCCATCAGATTTCAGTTTTTATTTACAAATTTTAATTATTTGCTAATTTTTTGCTAATTGTTAAAAATGTTTGCAAACTATTAAAAAATGTACTGTTGTTGGCAATACAAATGTATGTAAAGTTTCAACTAGATTGGAAATTGGGAAGTAGATGAATTGCAACTTTTTACCTGAACAGATGGATAGAGTAAGTTAATAAAAAAACTTTAATTATGATTATTATTATTTTATTCTCTGTTGCATTGCTCCATTTAAAGTTACTATAATTATAATTTTCATTCAGAATAAGTTTTCTAAAGGTTTCTTTTATTACTGATTTTTATAAAGTTAAAACAAAGAATTTTATAAATGTTATTTAAGTTTATATATATTTAATAGAAAAATTATTTTTAAAAATTTCAGATAAAGTTTGTAAGAATAAAATAGAATCTTACATCGAAACAAAAAAATTTACTTTCAAAGTCCAGATTATGAAACTAAATCCAAAGTCAATCTGTATGCAAGTACAATATTTACAAAATGAACTTTGGATATTGTTTTGTCATCCAGAAAGTTATATATTACTAAAATTCATAAAATATTACATTTATTCATATTCAAAAATTATTGTAAAAGAAATGAACATAATTTTTACTTGATGTTAAAATATATTTTTAACAACAACATTGCATAATAAATATACAAAAACAAATTAACTTAAATAAGAAATATTCTATTAAGAAACTGAAAATATACCTTGTATGCTAATAAGTTCTGATAAAAAATTTGCCTTAGTTTTTTGCACCTGTGATTATTTAAATCTTCATGCAAATTCTATCCATCAGTTGAACATTTTTCAAATTCTATGTAAGGTAAGTTGCAATTTTTGTTGTTTTCCATAAAGAAACTATAAAGAAAACTAAGATAATTCCACACTTTTTCAATCAAGGAATGAATAAATCTGAAATTTTCCATCTGCTAAAACCTGGGAATGCTACATGAAACTTATATTGTACAAGGAAACTAACGATATTAAGTTATAATCTTCACTTTCTGTCGGTTAGTATATATGTTACTGCTAAAGCTCGAAAGTCGTTAATCTGCAGATTACCTAGCTAATCTGCAGATTAACTAGGATGATCCATTAAAGTTGTGAAAATTGTTCCATTTCTCAAATTATCTAGATAATGTGCAGAGTATCTAGGTAATCCGCACATTACCTACTAGGCACTTGGTAAAGTGAAAATAAGATCTTTGCCACAAATAAATGTACCACAAATAGGTGTTCTTGTCGCAAAAACCAATTGCTATGAAATTCAAAGTGTCATCTATCTTTAGACTGCACTAATAATTAAGCATAATTGGATAATGTTACCTATGGTGAGTTAAATAGTGGCTTGTCTCTGATTCCAGCAAACAGAAGAAAGGAAACAGTGGGGACGCACGTTCTAACCTAACCTAACCTATTCTAATAATTTGGTTGGTAATAATTATGGTAATTTATTAGAATAGGTTAGGTTAGGTTAGAACGTGCGTCCCCACTGTTTCCTTTCTTCTGTTTGCTGGAATCAGAGACGAGCCGCCATTTTACTCACCATAGGTAACATTAACTGCACAATTATATCATGCAATCACCAGAAAAAGTATATTAACTTTGTTATTTTTCGCCTCCGGTCCAAAAGTAGGGTACCGTTGAAGTTGTCTCAGACCCCTCAGTTCATATAGATCAGTGTTTCTCAACAGGGGCGATATCGCCCCCATGTGGGCGTTTTTCCATGTTGAGGGGGCGATTAGTAACAATTTATATTTTGGGGGGCGAAAAACAATTTTCTGGGCGATATAGTAAAACATTATATTAAGATTAATTAGATACAATTTCATGATGAACTCAGGATATTTTTCTTCTAATTATTAATTAGAGATTCAGACTATGTACAAAAAATTATTTAATTTTTGAGTCTATCAATTAATCCTTTTTTTCATACACCACAGAAGTAGCCTTTACATTGGTTTGAAGAAATCACTTCATAAAAACGAATAACAATAGGTAAAATTTACAATTAAAAACGATCAGACGTCAACCTTTCATTTTAGGTATCTGATGCCTTAACATTAAAAATTAAGTAAATCTTCTCACCAACTGCCAAGTTTTATACCATCTGTATCAGGTTCAAGCCCTCTAGAGGTAGATACGAGTTATCTTTGATTTGCATATAGTTACAATTTCATGTATGAAAAAAAGGATTAATTGATAGACTCAAAAATTAAATAATTTTTTGTACATAGTCTGAATCTCTAATTAATTAGATATTTTATTCATTATATTGTACAATAATTAAACAAATAACACTATACTAGTCACTAGTCTATTCAATGCAGTACGAATTTGGTGTTAGCCTTGGCCATGGGCATCGGAATTTTGAAGTGAAGGGGGCGCGATACTGCGTAACAGTTTTATTGAAGGGAACAACGATTCATTAGAGGTTGAGAAACACTGATATAGATACTCAAAGCCCCGAAATTCCATAGGTGGTTTATCTATATAATAATTTTCCTAATTGTATTAATATTTTAAACTGTTTGATTTTTTGTATGTTTTTTAATTGGTTGATGATTGATTCTATCAACTAATTTGTTGATTGTATTAACTTGATTCTTTACATGTTGAAAATTAAATAAAGAACATTATGTTAATTTAAGCGTACAGAAACATTGCTGTTGTTCCAGCAAAGATCTTATTTTCACTTTACCGAGTGCCTAGTAGGTAATTTGCAGATTACCTAGATAATCTGCACATTACCTAGAAATAGAACAATTTTAGCAACTTTAATTAACGAATCACCCTAGTTAATCTGCAGATTACCTAGCTAATCTGCAGATTAACGACTTTCGAGCTTTAGCGGTAACATATATATTTAGAATTGTATGTTTTTGGTTCTTACCTGCAATCAAGTTATTTGAAACTCTGAATAATTCTGATTTTTGCATTTTACTGATATGGTAACTGATTTTAATGTTGTAATTAGTGAGTTGAAATTGTAACATTTGAGTTTTTGTGATATTTGAAGATGTCCTTTTAAAATATGATCAAAAATGTTAGTTACATTATATTTGAATACTGGAATATCAAGATTGTGTTGCTCATTCAAGTTATTTCCAGTTTTGAATTAGTTACATCTGTGATTTACTCTTTGCAGTTATACTATTTTTGTTTTATTGTCTGTCTACTGATATTTCTAGTTCAATAGGCTAAAGTTTGGTTTTTAACAAACTCTGCAATGTTTTTCTTAAATTGTTTAAGCATAAATTTTAAGGTCCAAACTTAAGTGCAATGGAATAGGCTAGATATCAATTTTAAATTGCAATTATAAACTTGTATCTTTTGGAGGAATGGCTACTCCCATCATTATGAGAGCAACCATTGTTTCAGAGATGCAAGTTTATAGTTGCATTTTAAAATATAAAGATTCCCCCTACAAATTTTGGAGGGTTATGACGGTTATATGCCATTGCAGAAAATATGNGTTGATGTTTGATTATTATTCAATTGCAGTATGAGAAGAGTATCAATGTGTTTTAAAGTTTTAGGAAATGTTTAGGATGAAACTGCAATTTTTGAAGAACAAAACATTTTAAAGTTGAGATGTAATATGTATTAATCAGTTTGTATTACTCTTGACTTGTGATCACATGCACTTATTTTTTTTTAATAACATGTGAATATACACAAGGCATTTCCTGCTGATTTTTCACACACAATTACAGTGCATATAATTGCTGATCCTCAAATTTGAGAATTCTGAAAAATCCTGTAATGCCTTTACTGCACATGCGATTATGGGTTAATGGGAATTTTTGTTGTTTGTATTTCAGAAATTTTTTTTGTAATCGCATTCTAATTTTTAATGTTGTGATACTAATTCAAGTTTTAAACACTATTTAATGAATTTTTTTTTAACCTGAAAAATTGAAAATTATCTGGAATTTTCAGGAAAGTTTTTTTCAAAATTGAATAGGCACTCTCACCTTTGTTATTAGTAGTTCATTTCTATACTCAATGATTAGAATTAGTTTTCTAAATTATATATGGAATCAGCATAATTTTTATAAGATTTATTTAATCAATCATTATTGTAACTTTACATGCTATCATATCAAAGAAAAGATCCCATAGATTGATCCTGATCTAAATTAGTGTTAGCAAATGTCAGACTTAAACTTGGTTTATTGCATCAAAATAAATAAAACTTGTTATGGTATTAAATAAGTCTGAAAAGTGATATGTTCCTAAACTGTGATATATTCTGTTCACAAAACTTAAATTATAATTGCTTTGGCACTATATTATCAGTTTTATTTCATGTAAATTAATATTTATGAATAATGTGTGAAAAAACAAAATAATTTTTTTCTTTTATAGGTTAAGTCTGTTAAGACTGGTGCTGTATCTTGGTCTGCATTAACAGCACTTTCATATTTTTATATGGTGAGAAAAATATTTGTTGTTTGACTTTGTTATGGATATTTGCATTGAGTTATTGTTGCTGCTATTTGCAGACTGATTAATTTTATAGCAATAAATACAAAATTTTTTCTTCTGTTATAATTTCTGTGATTATTATATCTGAGTAAATGATACTAGTAAATGTCTTACTTCAATATTAAAGTTCCTCATATTTTTAATTGCACATTTGAATTAATGTTAGGTGTCTGCATGGGGAGGATATGTTTTCATCATCAATCTAATACCTCTACATGTGTTTGTGCTGCTTATCATGGGAAGATTTTCTCAGAGAATATTTGTTGGTGAGAATTCATTTTATTTATATTTTTAAAGTAAAATTTTAGAATTTGACATGCTTTCTACTTAATAGCCTATACGACTTTCTACATCTTGGGCCTTCTTCTGTCAATGCAAATTCCATTTGTTGGATTTCAGCCAGTTCGTACTAGTGAGCATATGGCTTCTGCTGGAGTTTTTGTGTTACTAAATGCCTATGCATTTTTACAATATTTGCAAACATTTTTGACTAAAGTAGAAGTCAAAACAGTCTTTTTTGTATCCATTAGTATGATAGCAGCCATGGTATTTATGACAGTAGTAGTTCTGACTTATACTGGTAAGTTTACATAAATTTTATTTCTTAGCACATATAGATGAGTAATATGTGATTATTTTGAAGGATATATTGCACCTTGGAGTGGACGTTTCTATTCTCTTTGGGATACTGGTTATGCAAAAATTCACATTCCCATAATTGCATCAGTGTCTGAACATCAGCCAACAACTTGGTTTTCATTTTTCTTTGATTTGCATGTGTTGATTCCTACATTTCCTGTTGGACTGTGGTATTGCATTAAAAATGTGAATGATGAAAGAGTGTTTAGTAAGTAATTTATATTTATTGTTAAAATTTTGTATAATTTATGCTAAAGAAAACATAATTTCTAGTTGTATTATATGCTATAACTGCTGTATACTTTGCTGGTGTCATGGTACGACTGATGCTCACTCTGACACCCGTTGTATGCGTGTTAAGTGCCATTGCATTTTCTGACTGCTTCACTCTATACATGCAAGAGGACGAGAATCCAAAATCTGTTGCGGGATCTACAGACAGTGACAGTGAAGAGAGTGACAATGGAGGAGATAAGAAAGGAAATAAAAATCTTTATGATAAGGTTTGAATTATAACATTAGGTTCTTAAATTTACAATTCCTTCTACTCAGTAATTTGAATTTCATAGGCAGGAAAAATTCGCAAAATTAAACCAGATCAATCAAAAGAAAATCAAGGATTAGGAAATAATGTGAGAAGTATTGTTGTCATTGTGTTGATGATTATACTTATGATGTTTGCTGTTCACTGCACTTGGGTCACAAGCAATGCCTATTCTAGTCCTAGTATTGTTCTGGCAAGTTACAGTTCGGATGGGTGAGTGAATGTACAAATTTTTTTATATTTTTTATTACGGCTAAGCTTATTAATCATTGTTTTTAATATTAGATCTAGGGTAATTTTAGATGATTTCCGAGAAGCATATTATTGGTTATCTCAAAACACGGCTGACAATGCTAGAGTTATGTCCTGGTGGGATTATGGTTATCAAATTGCTGGGATGGCTAATCGCACAACTCTTGTAGATAATAATACTTGGAATAACAGTCATATTGCTCTGGTAAGTCTAATGAATGCATCATAAAAATAACAATATAATTTTAAAATATGTTAAACTTTTAATGTTTCTTGTATAGGTTGGTAAAGCTATGGCTTCAAATGAAAGTGCAGCATATGAGATAATGAAATCTCTAGATGTAGACTATGTCCTTGTCATATTTGGAGGAGTCATAGGTTATTCAGGAGATGATATAAACAAGTTTTTATGGATGGTCCGAATTGCAGAAGGAGAACATCCCAAAGATATACGTGTGAGTAATTTCTCTAAAAATATTGAAACATTAATTGAATAGACTAAAAGTTATGATGGGACAGACTCTCTCTCAGTTATGATGGGAATAACTCTTGCTAGTCACCACCTTGGCAAGGTGAACAAGCTCAGTAGTTCAATGAACCATAGAATGAACTATAGAAATGCCAATGGGAGCATAATTTTACAATAGAGCAACCCCTGCCAATAAGGACTGTGGGGGGGAATGAAGCAACAACCTGCAAGCATTATCAGACTGAGTGGACAGCTTCTAAACAAAGCTTGTTTTCTCCATGATGAGTTTGATACATTCGACCAGATTCAACACTTTCTGATATACCTGCATCANATTGTCAAGATGAATAATTTTCTTGATTCATCTCATTTTCAATATTTATTAAATGAAGAATATCTATTATAACATAAACTTTGCGACCAACAAATGAATATGGTGACTTCTTCTCAAGTAAAATTGTATGTAAACCTGCTATTGAGGGAGTATACAAAATTGGTCAAATAACTTGTTTCTAATTAATGTCTACATTGTGGCAAGCAAGAAACTCTGTCTCTGCAATGAAATTTTTTGAACGTGGTCTAGACGATCTCTAAATTGTTGTCAGTGTCTAAACGTTCTCTCTGCAATTGGCTGTAACAGTTCCGGAAAGTAGTAGCACATAAGCTGAAGGACAAAAGAAATCCAAAGGCATGAATGAAACTTCAAATGGGAACAGCACACAGGAACCGCTCTTAAAGGGATGATGAACAGGCGATGACTGACTGGAATTGGCCATTCCTTGTTATATTAAATTCAACAAATACCTTGGAACTGTCTAAAAGTTCATGGGAAAGATGTCACTTCCAATGCTGAGAAAGCATAAGTTGAAACTCTCTCAGGTCAGAAAGTTGATAAACACTAACTTATGATGAGGTCATCCTTGAGTTGTTTTTTTTTTCTTATTCAATTTTCACAATTTGCTTTTGGTGTCATTTGAAAACATCCAGGGAGACCAAGGAAAAATGTGAGCTTAAGCACCCATAGTTTGCTGAAAATGCAATTTTTCTAAAGATCACTTGCAGCAACAGAAAATGTGTGTGCTTGAATAGTTTGCAATTATATCAGAAGCCAATTGGGGACATCACAAACTTCCAAACAAACTTTGCTAGAAATCCAGAGGCAGTTTCTGTAGGTCTGGAGAAAATGGCCAAGAAACTCTTCTGACCTGAATCTTGTAAAGCAGTGTTTTTCAATTTTTTTCTAATCACAAACCAGTGAAATTATGAATAATTTTACGTGAACAAGTAATTACATGCAACAGTGAATTATGCTTATTTACTACACTTATATATACTTATCTAGCTTTACTGTACTATACATAAAAATGTACAATAACTCTAGATTACTACTTAAATGTCACTTGTAATTAACTGCACCAGTTCAGTACAATCAAATGTTTTCCTGCAGATCAGTGAAATCTTTTCACAGATCAACAGTTGAAAAACACTGTCTTAGGGCATATCTGAAGGCTTCGGACACTGTGCTGTGTCTTTGTTGTTCACAGCCAAGAACAAGTTCGATTGATTAAATGTGTTCAAGAAGAATGGGCATCTAATTCCCCATTAACTGGAAGGTGTCTTCTTGGAAGTTTCTCATTGAGAATTTTCTAGTGTACTGACAAGAATGGACTTTACACTGACTGTTCTTCTATCATAATATACATCTTTAATCCAAATATGTAATCAATGAATTACAGTGATAAAACAAATGCCTTAAAGTGTTAGACAGAAACTACTGTGTATAAAACTTCAAAATGTAAAATGAGGACACACATTAGTAATTCACTTGTATGCATACTTTTTCGAAATTTCAAGTAGATTTTACATTGTTCATAACTTCAATAATGATTTTTATTTTTAAAATATTAACATAAAATAGACTTATTGATGACTTCGTAATTTTTCAGTTTTTCTGAATACCATCAATGATAATCAATAGGAACAACTTATTCCTTAATTATTGGTGTTCTGGCAAATGAGAGAGAATTTTGATGTACATAATTGTGTGTATATTGGCATCTATTATATCTCAGGACCAGATGAACCAAAAATTTTGAAACATAAGACTATATCTATGAGTATATATGGGGCATTGATCCTAATAAATTTTGGTGGTTAAAGCTCGAGTGGGAAGATAGGTAGGGGTTGTATCTTGAGAAAATTTATACTATTTGATTTACAGTTTTCTAAAAAACTTGCCCCTACTATCAAAAGCAAGGCTTTTGCCTTTAAATAATAGTTAATAATACAAAATTTATATTTTAATAAAATCTCATAAAGTAGCAAGCACTAAATGTAATTTTTACTTTGTGCTTTACTCTTAGTGTTTTTTAAACTTAAATATTCTTACTTGAAAAAATAGAAATTCTCATAATTCAACAAAACTACTACTTTTAAGCTTTCATTATATTTATTTAAATTTTATATCATAGCATAAAATCATGAGATTGTAAAAATTATGTGCTTTCTGACAAACCAAGTTATTTAAACACAGAACAGTAAATGGTTGACTTATATTCCTTATGTAACACTTCCTATAAAAACAACAGTCTACCACAGATATATACTACATTTAAATAATTTACAATGGATATCCCTATTGATATCTGAAATTATTACTTTTTTAGACAAGGTGAGATTTAAACTTATAGAAATTTCTCATAAAAATAATAAATCGTTGTAAAATCACAAATCTATTATGATCCCATTTCGAATCGCAGAGAAACAGCATATTATGATACCCAAAGACTTTATATACTATGCATGGAAATGCTCATGTATGCTGGAGAGGGGCAAACAACAAACAAAAACTGAAATAAGCTACAGAAGCTCATCGTACGTTTCTATATTTAACGGTTGACTCAACAGTGAATTTTCTGTTGAATCCTTCCGTTGAACGATCTGACATCACGTTTTGCAGAAAAAAGAAACGCTTTCGTTGAGAGGTTGCTTTTCAAGATGGCTGACTTAAGTAACATAAGAGTGGTGATTGTGACTGTTTTGCTAAATAATTAAAGTAACTCGCTTAACCATTATTCAAATAAATCCTTTTATTCAAATGAACCCATATCTGTATCATTTTCTTGTATACTGGGTCTTTCTTTAATAATTTTAATTAATTTCTTGAATATTTATATCATTAGGAAGACTTAGAGGGCCAAATATCGATCGTAATCAATTTTGGACAAATGAAAAAAGTCTTAATACAGTAGAGCGTCATTTATCCAAATCAATTGGGGACTGAGGTTGTTCGGATAACTTATTTTTCGGATAACCGATTATATACGAAAAA